CATGGGCGTGAGCTCTCTACCATCGAGATGAAGCGGCGCGTCGAAAGGTGTCCGTCCCCGTGGACGTCGAATCTGACGATTAATCGGTGAGCGTCGGACACCGATAGGCGCAGTCCCAGGCCCCTTAGCCCCGCCAAAAACTCTTCGGCGGAAACGCCCTGCTTCTCCCCTTCGACCCCGACATCGCCAAGACCGCTCTCGCTGCAGCTTTGCCGGTCTACCGCCGCCGCTTTCGCCGACATTCCGAATCCCCCTTGCCGAAGAGGCGACATTCCGACAGTGGTGATGTGCCCTTTACCTTGCTGTATGTGTTGGTTTGGTAGCGCTGAAGCTACCATCGAAGTCTCGGGCCAGGGATCCCCGCCGCCTTCGGCCGAGGAAACGCCGGTAAACGCGGCGTTCAGTGGTGCTGCTGCGGAACGGAAGGCCGCGTCCAGGTTGAACGATCTGCGGCCGACCCCCTCGAGCTGCTCGGCCGCCTGCTCGCAAACCTTGCCCTGGAGCTCGGAGTGGTGCGGGTCTGTGACGAACACGACGAACTCGGCGTAGCTCAGGCGGTCCCCTCCATCCAGGGCCATCATCGAGTGAAGATCCTTCAAAAGGTGGGCACAACGTCGAGTTACCCACAAAGCGGAAAGTTCGACATCTCAGAGGCGATGAAGCGCGGGTATTAAGTTTCTGCTGACTGCTCGATACTAGTGTCTTACGCAAGACAGCGAGCTGGTTCCCAGGCCATAAGCCGCACAGAACAAGGGGGGTCATCCGGGAAATGTACACCTCAGTTGTGAAAAATTCGAATTTCCTGTGAAATCAGGAAGATACGTTCCTGGGGTTGTACGGCTACCACTGCTTGCCCAACTCCGTCCCAAGTGGGGATCATTCTGTCAATGTAAAACCTTATGCCTGGAAGAGACACATCAAAGGTTTCGTCTTCGCCATGCCAGGTATAGTAAGTTAAACCCACGCAACCTACCGTTGCCTCCCTTGCAGAAAGCTTGATTCGAAGGTCGGCCAGCGCATCTCTCATCTCGGCGACGTTGACATATCCACAGCGCCGTCGGTCGAAGTGTCCGAACACCTCCCGGATGGACCGATTCGCGGAAGCCTGCCTGTCCAGTATCATGCTTCGGAGGCGAGCTGCGATTTCTCTGATCTTGGCGTTGGGTTTCCAAGCGCCATCGCCATTTTCTTCCCTCGGTCCTCGCGCACTATTCATACTCTTGTCACGGTCTCGCCATCCTCGTAGCCCTCTGTCTATCTTTGGGCTGTAGCTGGCGCCAGGCACCGGGACGACAAACTTTTCTGCAGGAACGCACCTACGGGACGAATTGCGATCCGGACGTTCGTCGCGACCGTCCAACGACGCGACGTTACACCGGTTGTGATCGCTCTTGCTCCTTGGTCCATCGTGTAGTGCGCTTGAGGGATCGTTCGTTCTCCCACCTTTCATTTCGTAGTGCTGGTCGCCAACGCCACCTGATCCGACTTGATTTCTTGTTGCATGGCCAGGACCACCACATGATTCCGCAACACGCCGCGCCTGGTGTTGGTGTTGTTGTTGCTGTGGCTGCTGCTGCCGCAGCGACCATGAGTGATGACTTGGGCTGCCTGGCCTGTTGTTGTCCTTCCGGTTGGCTCCAGCCGAAGTATGGCCTGCCCCGCCTGTTCGGGAACCGCGCTCACCACGCCCGGCTTCGGATTGCTGTAAGGACCCCCCGCGGTAGAGGTATCCTTCCGGTCCACCCCCGTCGCTGCTGCTGCGATCGCCAACTTCTCGCGTCTTGTGGCGCTCTTCCTGCCAGCGTTCACTCTCTCCCCTCTGAAGCGCTCGTTCACAACTCTGAAAGCTTGGTGCATCGAAGAAGTTCCCTCGATTGTAGCCCCCGCCGACGCCGCCACCGCCGCCACCGCCGCCACCGTCGCGCTCGTGGTATTCGTCCTCCTGTTCTTCCCAAAGTTGCTCGTTCCCTAAAGGCGGGCGTTCGTTTTCTCTGTAGATGTAAACGCTACCGTCGTCCGCGAAACGCTCGTCATCATCTACCGCGGCTGAACAGGGGCGCACCGACGCTCGAGGCCGTAGTAGGTATGAGGCGGCCACGCGCTCCAGCTCGTCCACGCTGAATATTTTGGCGTCGAGTGCGTCCGATCGACGGGAGGATGGTGAAAAAAATCGAATTTGAGGAAGCCGTTCTCAACATATTGCGGAGAGCTGATTATGTATCCCACTTAGGACCTCATCGTGTTACGATCGACCGCTGTGCAGGATGTACGCTTTTCAGGAGGCGGGATAGCGGGCGATGTGGGTTCCAACAGCAACAAACACAAATGGCACCACAGGTGGTATCTGTACCCTCACAACTTTATATTGTTGTCTATAACCTTGATTGACGGGAGACACACCTTAACGGGAAAGAGACCCTTGCCAGCCATCCCCATACAAACCAACCCGTTTTGGTGTCGCACGCACCTAATATCCCAACCAAAAATCCGATTTCGTGCTGGGTCTTCTCTTGTTGTCCATTGCTTTTGAATCTTGAATCGTCTACATACTCAATTTTCTCTGTCTGTATGCGCGGATTGTTGCTCTTTGCCCATGCACGAAAGACGAGCGCGGGTTGTGGCTCCAGACGATTCGCTCACTTGAATGGTCCTTCCTCTTCATCGTTGTACTCCACAATCCCGTGAGGGCTAAGGTCCGACATGTCCGAGTAGTCCAGCCCCCCGTCTTCTTTGCTGCGAGCTCCCGCTTCTGCCCTCACCGTTCCTCTTTCCCCACGAGAGTGCACCGCTCTACGATCATCTTCATCAAAGTGATCCCACCCGTCGCCGTTACCGCCACGGCCCCGCGTCCTCGCTCTCCCTGGCTCCCATCCGGAAGTGAACGCTGGCTTGGCCGACGAAGGTCGTCGATGTTTGAGGCTACATCTAGTGCCCCCGCCCGAGTAAAGCCCCATCGGAGGAGCTTCACCCTCGAGCGTACGTCCCCATGCTTGTCTGTCGTAGTCGGAGGTGGAATATGCCCTGTCCCTTGTGCCCCCACCGGTCGGCTCGTGGGAGAAGGAGGAAGACATTAAACGACGACTACCGCGATCTCGCGACGCCGAAGCGGGCCGTCGGCCTCTCCGTCTGGTGCTTCCTCCTCCTTTTCTCGCTCCTAATGACTGTGATCTGCCCCCCGCGCCACCGTCCCAGGATTCATCCCGACAAGCATTCGAGAACCGGGTATCACCGCGTACCACCGCGTACCTACTGCTGGGGTGATAGGCCGCCGCGTTCCCCATCATAAATCGAGAGTCACGCTCTTCCTGCGCGCGCCGGATGAGGCGCGCTGATCGACGGAGTAGGTCCTCGTTCGATTGCCGCACGCCCCCGCCCCCACCACCGCCACCACGACCCCGCCGCCTAGCGAGTTGCCTCGTCATCTGTCCGAGTCCGACGTCTAGCAGATATCTTTCCTCGAGCTGAAGGAGCGTCATGCCCCCGAGTGGGTGCCCCCGTACCTGGCTCAGCCGCTGGCTTCGAGGCACGCGATCGAGACGCCTCCTCTCTCGGTCCAGGCTCAGCCTTGTGCGACGGCGGACAGCACGGGAGAAGGACTGTGATTCCTCGCGACCACGGCTTGTGGACAGCGACGGGCTTTGCAGAGCGCCTTGGCCATCGGCGCCGCTACTGCTGTCGCTATCGGTTTTGACATCTGTGTCGGTGTCGTCGTCCTCTACCCTGTCGTACTCAGGTAGAAAGCCTGCTTCACGAAGATGTCGCGGGTCTTGCAGGTGCGGGGAGACCCTGCCTTGTTTGTCTGCTGACGAGTCAGACCTGCTGCTCTGCCCGAAGTCGTCATGGTCCAAACCACCACTGCCACCGTCAAACTCGGCAGGTCTTCCCTGATCCCATGCCGGAGCAAACTCCTCTCCAACATCGTCAATAGCATTGTCGTCATCGTCGCTAGTCCATCCCATCTCGTTCTCATCGCGGCCATCACCATCCCAACCCTGCTCGGGAGCAACTTGCTGGTGATGCTGCTGTGATTCTCCATTAGCTCGTGGTGTGTTTGATTCCTCTGTAAGATTCCCGTTTCTGTCGGTAGCTCCTTCCCTACTGTCGCCAGGAGGTTCATGCGACCTCTCGACCTCGTTGATATCTTCGTCATCAAAGCAACGCTGCTGCTGCTGCTGCTGCCCCCTGGACACAAGATGCACACTCGTTGGCGAGTAGCTACCAGTATCGCCAGAGTCGTCAATACCCTCCTCGAAGCTGCGGTCGGCAATCATGTCGGGAGCATGAGGAGAAGGATTGTTCCTACCGTCACCCGCAGAAGAAAAGCCGTCGTTGTTGTCTGACAACGGATGACTGCGGGGCGTTTGACCTATTGGTGTTGTTGTTGTCGCTGGTAGTGGTAAGGCTATTCCTTCAGATGCGTACCTTTCGTCGTCGAGCCTGCCCCCATCGCCTGCGCTTCCAGCGGTCCAAATGTACTCCCCCATCAGCGGAGGATCTTCCTCGTCCTCCCGTTCGCCCCCGTCTCGACTGCCAGTACTGAAACACTTGCGGTCGTTTCTAGCTTGGTCGCAGGCATTGCTGCCAGAAGAACCGACGGGAGAGACAGAGAACACTAGGGATTCCGCGGGCTGCACCCAAGACACCTCTTCCGGCGGGTGCTCCTGCTGCTGCTCCATCCCGGCGGAAGATACAGCCTGGTGTGGTACATAAGTGCCTTACTACAGCATCACTTTTTGTTAGACAATCGACGGAGAAGAGATGTGTAGAGAGAGGGAGATAGAGGGAGGAGATAAGAGGGGGAGAGAGAGAAATAGAGATAGTAGAGGGAGACGCAATTATCCAGATATGTAGGAAACCACACAGCAGTACATTCCAGGATCTATGTGGGTCGTTGCGCGACCATTGAACGGAAAAAAATGTCGGTTTCATCCCAGGAGTTTTGAAGTTGGCGTTCCTCCTGGTCGCCCTGACCAAGCGGCCGCGCGCGCGACTTGAACACAGGTACAGCTCTGTACGCTACTTCTAGGCGAGCATCCGCAGAGACCTCTCTATCTCTGTTTCGCGAGTATTTCATAGTTCACTGGCGATACGAAACGCGAGCCTGCGGTAGACCTCTTGTTGGCTATGTCGGCGATTGCCATCAGCAGCACACGCACCGCGTGCCGGCAAGGGCGCGCTATGCTGCAGCAGCAGATCGGCCGCAGCAGCACCAGAGCGCTGAGCAGCGCGGCGCCGGCGGTGGATGAAAGCGACAGCCGGCTTGGCGCTCTTCGCAAGAAGCTCAGAAACGAGGAAGAGTCTGCGGCAATGGGCGTGACGCTGCACGACTTCTCCTTTTCTGGGGACGTGTCCTACGGAACCGCTGTCCCGAGACGCAATCGGGATAAAACCGGCAAGGTGTGTGTGCGTGCCAGCAACATCCGCGTTCTTGTCAGACAGCAACACCCCGCCACCCACATGCTCCTGTATGTTTGGTACCCACAGAACGAAGACGCTCACCACAATCCGTCGAATGTAGCGCAATCGTCGTGGCCAAATCAGGTAAATGTAGGGGGACTGCTGCTGCTTTGTACCACACCGAAGAATATCGGAGCCCTCGAATGTGTCCGTAATTACGCCGCTTCTTCCGTGATGCGTGCACACGAGCAAGTGAAGTCCGCAGGTTTGTGTGGGTGTCGCCCTGAACTACATGCGTAGTAGCACTTGTGAAGTGCCGCATCATGTATGATGTGCCGCCTGTGTGTACGGCAGGAGGTATCAGGTTTCCTCTTCTCATGCGATATTTTGAATACGAATCTTTTGCCGAGCGCAACACGCGGATTACTCCGGAAAACGCACGCACACACGCCCGCGGGGGCCCTTTTTGTCTTGTGAACGCGTGACAGCACGGCAGCGAGTGGCGAGTGCACAGAAGAGAGTGCTGCTGCTGTTGTTGCACCGCCCTTCCCGATGGAATGTTCTTCGTGTATACAGCTCCCGAGCCAAGCTAGTGGCTGCTATTGGCCGATGGTTTTCATTTTCGCGAGGCCGGCAAGGTGTATCGATCATTGCTCTGCCGTCTGTATGACTCTCACACGGCGGTGGTGGTCTCATGAAATGACTCGTCAATTCAAAAGCCGTTCGGAGGAGTATCTAATTTTTGGGCAATTTGCCCCGCTGCTGCCGTCCACCTGTACCACGCCGAAGAGGAAGACGCATATGCATAAGCATCGTCTGCTTTCCCCAAGCAGATTTGGCGTCTACTTATGGTTTCCTTCGTGCTTACGCTGTGCAATGAGAGCCACGCCACTGGTCTGGTTTTGTGGGGCATTTGTCTGTGATGTAACACTCCACATACAGTCGTGATTCCGATATAAGAGGGTACCGAGTCAGAGGGGGTTCCGTGAGAAGAGAGTCAAAATCGGTTGGCACGGGCGCGACCCACATTAAGAGGGTTACTCTCTTATGAAGAGACCGGCCCCTTTATAGTAGGCTGACCCCACTGTAGAGGTGTGGGACTGTCACCTTCGGGTGGCTCCCTCGGCTCCTCACAGCTGCTGCCCACATAACCACACCAGAGCAGCATATACACGATGCGATGCGCGGCTGGAGAAACGTGTCTTACCCCAGACGTCACGATTGATGAGCCTCCCGATGAGCATGTGTGTCACGGAGGTTGTGGCGGCCGGCTTCACCGAGGATGTGGCAATGTGGAGGACGCGGAGAGTATTGACGAGGGAAGCTCCGAGACACTCCGCATCTGCACACAATGTGCCAACAAGAAGCCGGCTGCCGGCAGTTCATGTGGCGCCGGTAAGCGCAAAGCGACCAGCTCCACTTTACCTCAGGGGAGGTCGGCTACCTCCAAGAAGGCAGCGCGTGGCGGAGCAAGCAAGCGCAGGCAGCTTACCCTTGGTGAGAAGATCGAGATCCCGGCATTCAAGACAAGGAGTTGTGCGAGGTGCTGGCAAACCTCGACATCGTCCCGGGCCAGCCTGCCCACATGGCCGCCGTCAATGCGACCCTGGCCTGGGCAGGGCTGGAGGAGCAAGAGGAGGTTCAGCAAGCTTTGCAGCAAGACGCGCAGGACGTGCTGTCAGAGAAAGTCAACAGCATCTTCGTGGAAGAGGCCAACCCTTCTGACGACGAGCTAGAGCTACTCGAGAACGACGACGGCGACGATGGCACGGGGCGGGCGCGTGGGGGGGAGGTACCGCCACCGTATGCTGAGCTGTCTTCATTTTTTGGCCCGCTGGAGCACTTTGCGGAGTCTTCTGGCAATGTAAAAGCAGGGAGCTTCTTGCGCAAGGCTAAAAATGTCGTTCCTTTCAGCATACGTTTCTAAACCCGCACGGCAGGCAGACGTCAGCGACTTCTCGTAGATGTAGGCAACGCATGCTTATACAGGCCCGACTCTGCGGTACGGTATTAATAGCAGTGAACTTTTGTCTTCTGTTGCTGAGCTGCAGTTGTTGCCCGTGTACAAGGAAGTTTCTCGTCATGGTCGGGAGGTGGTCGAGGCTTTGCAACATGTTGGTTGCGCGTTTTTTTCCTTGGTTATCTCGACTCTGTATGCGTTTGATGGGATGTGCGTGGAATTTGCCTCGTATTACAATAGTGGCTAAGTGGCTGAACCGCCATTTTTTCTCTGATGGAAGACGTTATTACTCCATAAATCGAACTAAACACCACGAGGAAAGCGCTACCTAAACGATCACAATCGCCTAGCTTGCTTTTGGGCACGCCGATCCGCTCTACCACTCCACCACACGTGCATATACAGTCCACCACACACGCATACATGTAATACACGGCATCCTTGACTTTAACGGTGCCTATAAGCACCTTTTGTTTTTCGTTTTCCACGATTTTTCCTCTTTTAGGAGGGTACCCCACTATAGAGGACTCCGATATAAGAGGGTGACCCTCTTATACCGATATAAGAGGGGGTTCCGATATAAGAGGGCCCAGAGCCGTTGTCACACCACCCTCTTATATCGGGACCACGACTGTTCTCCAATAGCCCTCGAACTGGTCCCGAACGCAGCCAGAGCTCTTGAAAACCCTCTCGCACGTGACCTACTGCTGTAGCACCACCCCCGACCTCTTCTCAATCAAATAAAAAAACATGCAGAGTCCTTGATATTATTGTCCCTCTGTCCCCACGCGACATTAAAAAATAAAATAATACGACCCCGAGTTCTCAATCAATGAACAAGACACAACCTCTTTCTTCTTCCCGTCGGCAGGTTATCCATCGCAAGCCCAATTGGCTCAAGGCCGTCCCCACCCAGGGCGATAACTACGAGAGGCTCCGGTCCACCGTGAGGGAGCTAGGCCTCGCCACGGTCTGCGAGGAGGCCAAGTGCCCGAACATAGGGGAGTGCTGGGGCGGGGCCGACGGCACCGCGACGGCAACGATTATGATCATGGGTGACACGTGCACGAGAGGGTGCAGGTGCGGAATAAAGTTGTGCATATGTAAAAGAGCGAGCCAACAAGATCCAACAGCAGTGAGCAACGGGCGTGCGTGTAAGCGAGCCGGCCAAGGGCGGGGCTCACACATCGACCACTGCTTGTTTTTGGTTGTCGGTTCCGCCCGTGCCATCTCTTAGGTGTCGTTTTGTTTGTTCCTTGCGCTTGTTGTGTAGGTTTTCACGCACGCTGTTGTGTATTTGCGGCACGTCCTCGACAACACACCGCTGCGATCGGATTCTTTTACACTGGTGTTGGTCCCCATTCCCCCCCACCACAGGGTCAACTGGTTGCAGGTGGTCAACGGTTAACTTGAAACATAATGAACGTATGGCGAGCGCTAGAAAGCCTGAACTCATCCCGTATTTTTTTTTGCCTCTATTTTTTTTGGGCGGTATCCATAGTGGTGGTCGAGTAGATCATGTTGTGCGGGGTGGAGAATCCTCACTTCACGCAAGGGGGATGATCGCACCACGTTGTGTTAAATTGGTCAAGCACCCTCGAGGCAGTTACAAAGTGCTTACAACTGTCTCTGGAAGTGAAAGCACCAGAAAATAAATTAAGTCATTCGCAGCTGCCATCCGCACGCAAGGAAGGAAGCACATGCCGAACACCCTTAGCAGGATGCAGCGCACCCTTTATGCGACTCGCCGAATACCTCACGGCGCTTCGCGCTTGGTGATGTGAGAGCCTGGTCCGGTGAGAACCCGGCGTGCTCCGTCCCGNCCCCAGCCCACGCCGCACGCTCCTCATTTTTACCCGGCGGAACAAACAAAACGGGATTCGATTGAGCAACCGCTTAGCCGGTTCCGGTGTCTTTACCGACGTGTCCACACCTTCCCAAACCACACGTTGTTTTTGCGCGTGTTTCGTTCCGACCAAAAAACCCTCAAACGACGCGGAAAAAAAAAAAAGCTTCTGCGCCGTCAAGACGAGCCGCGCGCCGCCCCCGTTGGACGCCGACGAGCCCGAGAAGGTGGCGAAGGCCGTTACGGACTGGGGGCTGGGCTACGTGGTCCTCACCAGCGTCGACCGCGACGACTTGCCCGATCAGGGGGCGAACCACTTCGCCAGGTGAACGTCATGCGTNGGGGGGGGGGGGGGGGGGGGGGGGGGGGGGGGGGGGGGGGGGGGGGGTCAAGGAAGGAGTGTGGAGATGCTGCTGTTGTGGACATTGAACGTACTCTCTGTAGTGAAGAGACCCTCGTGGCCCGTTTTGACGCCGGGACGCCCCCGGAAAGACTTTTTGTTCTGGCGAGAGCGGCCACATGGGGGGGGAGGGGGGTTGCACGTGGTCTTTGCTTTGGGTTCGGCGTCGGACTGTTGGCTGCTTACGCACCCACCTCGAGGCAGAGCAAGCCACTTACTTTTGGTCGCTGGAATGGACCGCAGGACGAGGATAGCAGGGGAGGGGGGGGGATGGTACACCCAGAAATTTCATGCTGCAGCATCCGCACGTTGATTTGCAATCGCATGTGAAGGGGTCCGCCAGTAAAGCCACCTTCCTCCTCACTTGAGTTAAATCCAATATACGACCTTTTTTGTGCCCTCTCCAAACCTCCTCCGGCCTCAATACTCCGCTAAGCAAGTCAAATCGAAATTGTTCCAGTACTGGATAGAGCGAGAAACTGAACATGGCCCATTGGCGATGCAGGAGGCCTACGCGCCGCCCCCGCCCCCCGCCAAAAAAGATAACACACACACACACACTAAATTAATCCATGAACAGGCGAATAGATGTTACCTGTTCATGTTGACTTGGACCAATCCCCTTCACCGCCTCCCGCCCCCCCCTTCTGGTCACCCTCTGCCGTTGCGAAATGAACAGCACGGTGCGAGGCTTGAAGCGGCGTGCCCCCCAGCTCCTCGTGGAGTGCCTAGCACCGGATTTTCGGGGCGACCTTGAGCTCGCGGAGCAGGTGGCGCTGTCGGGGCTCGACGTCTTCGCACACAACCTGGAGACGGTGGAGAGGCTGCAGAGCCGCGTGAGGGACCACCGCGCGGGGTACGAGCAGAGCCTGTCGGTGCTGGAGCACGCCAAGAAGGTCACCAGGGGAGAGGTGCGTGAGGGAGGGGGAGGGGCGGAGAGAGACAGAGCGACAGATAGAGCAATAGAGGGAAACATTGAACGAGAGAAAGAGACAGAGAGGGAGAGGAGTGTGTGTGTCAGACAGGCAGGCTGAGATAGTTCCTCTGAAATCATATCCCGACACCTCAGCCCAAAGTATTTTGGTTCCGTTTTTGCGAATGAGGAAGGAGTCAACCAGAGCGCGCCGGAGAGGCGGGTGGAAAAGGCACACCCTCTTTCTACTTCCAAGTATTTTTCGTCGAAGAACCACGAAAAAACCACGGGTCATGTACACATGCCTCCACGCGATCGTCGTCAAAACGTCTACCCGTGTTTGCAACTACGACGCACCCCCCAAGTATATTATAGCAAGCGATTGCTTCGATAGCTGACAACCGCGGGACACCANCCCCAGGTGATCACGAAGACGTCGCTGATGCTCGGGGTTGGAGAGACGCCGGCGGACGTGGAGGCGACCCTGAGAGACTTAAGGGCGGTGGGGTGCGACGTGGTGACGTTCGGGCAGTACCTCCGCCCGAGCAAGCGGCACATGCCGATGCGGGAGTACGTCACCCCCGAGGCGTTCGCGGAGTGGCAAAGGGTGGCAGAGGTGGGCTATTACCATAGAGCTGAAATGACAACCAGGCGTGGAGCCTCCAGTCCCCACGTTCCACGAGGGCTATGCGTGGATGTTGCAACGGGCCGGATTCACTTGGGGTTTATTATTCTTTTGGTCTTTAGTTGGTTTTGGCAGGCTGTATTCGTCGGGAGGTCAGCTTCTTATTCCCGCGCTGGCCGTGTCTGCAACAAATACACGCGGACGTGCGGGCAACACAGATGAGGCCGTGATGGGGCCCTCGGCGAAACGGACGGCTGAGTGCCGTGTGTCCCGTGGTAGACCCGTTCGCCTCCAATCTTTGCTCGGCAGTTCCGATGGAACGCGTGGGGGGAGGGGGGGGAAGTGACGGGAGGAAGAGCGACGGAATCGCCTGTTTTTACCCCCGGTTTCACAATTACCTCTTTCTGCTGCTGCTTGTTTTTCCTTGAAGAGGGTGCCCTTACGAATGAGTGCATCAAGATGTCTCGCTGCTTTTGTCTATTCTCCAAACATACCTTTATCCATCGATCCGGGATGCCCGCGGCCTTGTTCTTCTGCTCGTGGTTCTTCCAGCCTCTCTAACAAACCGTTGTTATGGAATCGGTTTCTCGAGACCCTCTTCTTTTTGACAACAGGCTCCACAACGTTATCGATACCATGGTATGTNTGGCCATCGCGGTTGGGTTGTCGTCGCATGGCAACGACGTTGTAAAACAAGTCGCGCCCCCGGTGTTTTCCATCGGGGTTGAGTTTTCGTCGCTTGGCAGCGATGTTGTAAAACAAGCCGATCACTTCGTGAGCTCGGCATCCAGGTTACCGCATTTTTTTCCCCTTTTTTCTTTTTTACGGTAACCATGAATGGTGGTTGAGTAGATCATGTTGTGCGGGGTCGGGAACGCTCATTCCGCGCGAAGAGGAAAATCGAACCACGTTGTGTTAAAATGGTCACGCACCCTCGAGGCAGGTACACAGTGCTTACAACTGCCTCTGGAAGTGAAAGCACCAGAAAATATATTAAGTCATACGGAGCTTCCATCCTTACGCAAGGAAGTAAGCACGAGATGCCGAACACCCTAAGCAGGATGCAGCGCACCCTTCATGCGACTCGCCGAATACCTCACGGCGCTTCGCGCTTGGTGTGAGAGCCTGGTCCGGTGAGAACCCGGCGTGCTCCATCCCGGCTTTGTAGGGATGCGAGGTCGATGTTCTAACGACGACGGCATGCACGA